GTTTAATGATGGTAACTTCTGATGATATGACAGTTGAGAACATAAATTCTGAAAGTTTCGATGTTCATGCCATATGGTACAGCCCTAAAGGAGTTTGTAAGACCTATTTGTTAATGGTGACCTATTTGTTAATGGTGGGGCCCAATATGTTAATATTATTGGCTGATAGATCATAGCATAACATATCCATGGTTGGAATACCAAATTTTCCAACTATTGTTAGCACATCAATCAATATTTAGCCTTTTTCCACCTGACAACAGCTCCAATAACCATTGTTCCAATGGGATGGAAAATTCAAATATCTGAATATGTGGCAGGCATATAAAGGCACATTCTTTCAGCACACACCAATTGAGAAGAATGAAAGCTTACACTAGGAGGTGACTGAAAATATTTATCTATCAAGATGTACAACACCATTTTCATCCAAATGTCATCCAAAATCCACATCAAGTTCTGTAAATTGTAGACAAGTAATTGGCCAATGGAACCATGAAGCTACATGGGCACAATCAGAAGTCAACTGAAATGAAAAGTTAGTTAGAATTTGTCACTATTGTAGCTGGGTCTAAATATCTCTTTGAGTGGCCAGTCATAAATTATAATGAGCAATTCAGCTTCAACACAGAAGCTATGGTGGACCAAATCAATCTACTCTAATTACCTGATACTTCATATTTGGATAAACAACACCTTCAAGAAACACAGATGATTTTGTGCTTAGATTGGGAAATCCGTACATTGTACTTTTTCATTTCAACACAACACAACATCAGATAGAATAATAATGAGCCATTGTCAAGAACTGAAGATCAACGTCACATACATAGGCATCTTTCTGCAGCTGTGGTTTTTTTTGTTGAGTTAGTTTACATGACATACAAGAAAGGTTATCGGTATGGGTGACAAATAGAGTGGAATTTTAAACTATCCATCTTCGATCGGAACGCACTAAAACAAAAGAACCAAAGCAAAATAATTGTAAAAGTTAGATACTAAAGAATGTAAAAAAAAGGAGTAGGGAAGAGAGAGACCGACCATGAATTCGACATAGCCACATTTCCGTTTCATTGTCGAAGCTTCTTCCAAAGGAATCAAGAGTTGAAGACTCAAGAATCCCGTATCATCAACTCTTAACGACTTGAGACCGACCCATCAAGCAAAAAAAAACAATCAATCATCCATCATGTTGGTAGAACATGGATTTGGACGAGGGAGGGAGGGGGGGGGGTCAGAGGAGAGCAGATAAGACTGACAGTCTTGCTTGACACGTCTAGAGCTTTCTTGATTTTTAGAATATGAGACAACTTGTATCTACCCAAATCCGAGTCAAGAAAAAAGAATCAGATGTTGAGCATGTCAAATCATAACACGATGAAATAAGTGAATGGAAGAAGAAGACTAACGAATTGCGAACGAAGCCCAACTGATGTAAATCCTGAGGATCCAAGCCCTCAGGAATCTTGCACATAAAGGTATCCAAGATATCTTTATCATTAGGGAAGTCGATTGTATAGCAGCCCAAGTCGCCATCGACCTCGATCCGGAACGTCGGCCGATTCGCTCGATCTTCATCCCGTTTGTGCCGGTTATTGTGATAAGTAGTCGGCTCTGTTGGGGCTGACCAACCTGTGCTTGGCGTCGGCGTAAACATGAACGTGATATCTGTACCACTCTTATCGTCAAATTGTGAGAATGCCGACTTCAACCAATCACTCTATACATTTTTTTAACGAAAAAGATAGCGATCAGAGGACTACCAAAATAACTAGAATTGATTTGGTATTTTAGTTACCTTCATAATGAGGTGAACCATCTGTCGTTCGACGGGAAACTCCATTTGAGCAAGTTCATCGGCTTCATAGGTCATCAAAGAACATCGAGTCACCACGCCACTGTCTTCGATGCTATCTTTTTCCGTGAGTAATGTAATAAATACCAACGATCAAAAGAGTGTTGACTTCGCCGGAAGAAGAGGGAAAGCAAGAGTAGATGATATACGGACAGCAAGACCAACGGATGCCCTTCGCCGTCATAGGAGATCCTCACGGCGCTAGTCGGAAGTTTGCGAGCTTTACTTGGCCCTGGTTTCCCCTTCTGATAAACAAGACTATCATCGTCGAACCTCCGTTTAGCCGGCAGACCGGTAATAGAAGACCCGTCGTCGATCGCACTGTCGGCAAAGTTTTTCGTATATGTTTTGTGCGAGCTTGCGGTGCCAAAGATGTTCAAACATTCGATCAACGAGCTCATCGATACCTCGAACTTCACATCGAACTCGTCTTCCTCTTCTTCATCATCATCATTCTTTCTCTTGCCTGATTCTTCTTCATTCGAGTCATCCGAGTCACCCAAATTCTTGGCTCTTTCTTTTTGACTGTTCGGGAGGATTGGGGGCTTGAAATGCCAATCGGTAAACACGTTCTTGTCGATATAAGCATGAGCTAGATAAACCCATATCAAAATTCTGAATCAATGTAGCGACCGATCCCGGATGTGACAGTTTCAAAAAAAAAGAAAACAATACCCTGTAATATTTTGCCGATCTCGACTTGGATGTGGATTGAGGTATGAGAAAGTTGGATGATCGCTCTAGCTGAGAAATGGACGGTTGAGAGTAAGATAGCGATGGGTCTCAAGTCGGGAGCATAGCAGCAGAAGACCTGAGGATGATGGAGGATGTCAGCTCTGAATGCCATGTGTTGTAAATATAGCTTGGATGTACTCAACTTGAGATTGCAGTCGTCCGTCCTGTTCTTCGTTGTTCATCGTCAACTGTTGGCTCTTGACTGTTCCTTGTCTTGCAGTGCTACATAAATATTTACACATGCAGAGTGCTTATGACCGGGCGCATACATCGACCGGATGACGTCATCGCACCAAAAACACACATCGCATCAATCCGATTCACTCTATCACCACATTGTAAAATGAACCATCTCAATCGAAACACACAACTCCCCGATGAGTTCTTCTTCTTCTATCGAGCATCAGGATCCGAGATCAGGGACGCCGCCTTATCCTTATGTTGATGGTATGTAATTCTTATCTTCCAGGGGTGCTTCTTTATGCATCCCCTCGCTTTTCTTATGCTTTGTGCTCATAATCAACTCAAATGCTAATTCTTGTTTTCAACATGTGATCTGGAAAACTTGACAGGAAATCAGACGTGGAAACGGATGTCATTCCTGACGGTTTCGTCCTTTGGTACTCAATTCCTCTGGTCTGTCTTTTTTGATCATTTCCATCTGATTGACTCCTTCCCATTCTCTAAGTCTTCCCGCGTAAGACAAATCTGAAATGTGAAGAAAATGACCCAATCAAAAACCAAAGTACGATTGATTGCAAGAGATATCATAACACCCCTTTTCGCAAACTATTTATTATTGGACATATATCATATTGATATAAATGTTTCTTTGATTTTGTTTTCTATTGGATCATGATTAGGTCTACTGAAATGAGTCAAGCCTCGCCATATCTTCTGTCCTTAGGAATCTCCAAGAGCCAAGTGGCGTTAGTTCTCATGGCTGGCCCATTAAGCGGTAAACAAAAAAAAATCTATCCTATGATCAATGAAAGCCTTTATGATCAGAGAAAAGTCATTATTTTCTGATGCGCATCTTTTGATTGTAATCTTTTGGGAAAAAACAATGGTTGGATGATTAGGATTGTTCACACAACCTATAGTCGGTAAGATGGCAAAAACTAAGCTCAAGTAGTATCTGTGTCGAAGGTGTTAATCTTTTTAACGGTGAAAATTTACTTTTACGGCCATGTGTTTTTTATTTTTATTTTGTTTGCAAAAAAATCGGAGAATGACAGGCTTATATGGTGACAAAAACCAACACAAATTAGGCCGTCGGAGACCATTCATAATATCTGGAGGTATGTACTTTTCTTCTTCCCCCCCCCCCCCCAAAAAAAAAAGAGAAGATCAATTAATTTGTTTCAACTCTCAACATAAGGATTGAGAGAGAGAGAGGAAATATTTTGAAAGATGTTGAAGAATCCATAATTTTTTGATTGTGCAGGTCTTTGTACTTTGGTCTCGTTGTTTACGTTTGCATGGTGTAAGGAATTGGCCGAGTTGATCTTCGATGTAGGCTCCCAATCCGTGAGTTAATAGTTTAACACTTCCTCTTAAGGAACGCGAGTAAGTATGGAAAATTCTCATGCATATTTTTCAATGAATGTCTCAATTTAATCTTCGACAAAGCATCAAAGATTATCAATCTTATTAGCTGTGATTGCCTTCTATGCTCTGTAAGTTAAAATCGAATCAAGATTGCGTTTGTGTTTTTTGTTTTTTGAGGGGCAGGTGATAACTGACAAGATCAACGGATGCAAATGATACGGAGGATTGAAAAGGGATATCTCGATTAACATAGTGACGGTATCGAACAAATGTTTGATTATAGATGTCTTACCCTCAAGGGAGCAACAATTAGCCAACGCCTATGCATCAAGATTCAGTGGAATATCAGCGATACTCAGCACGTTAATCTCCTTGCTCGACCTTCCCAAACTCTTCAAAAGCTCAAGTAGTCAATTGAAGATGATCAGTTACATCGGTGGACCCGTATTTTTCTTCTCACACCTGATGATGTGTATGACTGTTCATGAAGCGCGATTTGTAATCTCAAATCGTAGTTGTAGGGTCCCTGCGACGAACATGAATAACAGCTCGTTGGTGAGTATCATCGGCTCGACTTGTCGGAAGTTTTGGGAGGCATGGCGGGCGTTGGAAGGGACGATAGTCAAGCCGATCTGTTGGATTCAATTGTGGGCATGGTTGGGCTGGTTTCCGGTGATGTTTTACTCGAGCACATGGGTTGGCGAGATCTGGGCTCGGACGAATGGTGATTTGAGTTGGATGGATGGTGATGATCAGGAGAAGGCCACCCGGATCGGGACAATCGGCTTGCTCCTTCAATCGCTTCTCTCCCTCCTCGGCTGGCTGTTCATCCCTCGCTTCGTCTCGAACTATAGACGAAAACATTATCAGATTGCTAATGACTACGGGAAAACGTTGGTCGATCTTTGGGCTTGCTCTCAGCTCTGCTTCGGCTTCTTGCTCCTCATCAGTCCCTTCTGCGAACATAATCTCGTCCTGTCTATTCTCTTGATCGGCGCTTGTGGAATCCCTTGGGCTATTACTTGTTGGGTCCCTTTTACACTTGTCAGTCCCCTCCTCATCCACCTGCATCAGTGGCCTTTTATTTGACGTTTATTCTTCTTTGTGATCCTTTTAATATATTTGTATTTGTAGTTAGGAGAAGCGATACTATTCAAATCAGAATCAGTCATTCCAGTCGAGAATAATTTTAGATTATTATCAGATACTGAGCCAGTTGATTCTGGAGATCGAAGTCTGTCGTCTACAGATGATCAATTGACGATCCCATTGCAGCCGATCACGAAGGACAAAGCGTTGATAGGCCGACCAGTGTTGTCCTCCCTGGACCGATCAGAAGAAGAAACAGATAACGGTAACAGCACGAACTTGATCAATGAACGCGAGCGAGAAACAGTAGAGGAAGAGCAAGCGCTGATAGAAGAAGGTCACAATTATGATGATCATGCTAATGATGACGAGAGTGGAAGGAGGGAGGATGAAGGGAGCCAACTAGCCGGGACCGTTCTCGGGATCCACAACGTCTTCATCGTCCTGCCCCAGTTCATGATCTCCTGTCTCTCCTCGGTCTTGTTCAAGCTACTTGAGTCAGACCATCTTGATACTCCTCGTCCTCACTCTTCTCGCCCCCCGGTCGGAGAGCTCAATCCTCTGCAGGCTCATGGTCGTAACGAAACTCATGGAATTAGCGAAATCGGAATCATTTTCAGGTACCTCTCCTACTCCTCTTTGGTTCTTTGTTGCTTCGCTATTCACTTCTTTTCTTTTTTGTCTGAATTTTTTTGGGGGGTTGGTAGGTTCGGCGGAATTGCGTCGTTGGTTTCTGGTCTGTTTTGTTGGAAACTGGGTCGACTGATCCATCATAAATTCTTATCTTCCTCTTAACCTTTTTTATCCTCTCTCTCCTTTCTACTCGATTCGTATGTATTTCCCTATCGGACGTAACGTATTTCCATGTTTCTTCCACTGTTCTTTTCTCTCATTCTTCGCCAAGCCAAAAAACCAGATATATTAATATTGTATATGTGTCTCATGTTGTGATGTTGTTGGACTTTTTTTGTGTTTATACATACGTCTTCATGTTATCTGAGTCCCTTGGCGAGTCTAAGTTTAACTGAGCTGAGTCCCTGCGGCAGTTTCACCCAGGCCCTTCTGCCGAGGGTCCCTGCGGGACGGCGTCCCCCCTCCAGATAAAGATAGTTTCCGGTGTAGACCGCATTTACTATTGGTGCGATATTTGCCATAAATTCTCGGCCAGTCACTGTACCTGTTCATCTTACTTCCGCAAACAAAAGAACTAGAATCCAAAATAGTTGTGTTTTTGTTTTCGTGATAGGGGTGGCACAATGGTACAGCCTCAGAAAATTGTGATGTCTATGGCTCTATGGAGGCTAGAGCGACTGTGTTGAGAATCGATTGTCGAGACTTTTAATGGAGCCTCTCGGGCGAAGGGCAGCCGCGGAGGAGCCGGCACTGGCAGGCTCTTCCGAATCCAGCGGTCGGTGCCAGGTCGGCGTTGCACATATTGCGACAGTTAATGTGAGGCCGCTCACCCGTATGGGACCAGCTTTTACCGGATTGTGTACTTTGCCAATGCTCGTCCATCCCACTCAGCGTGACTACCTACTTGCCGCATAGCTTATAAGGCAATCATGAGCACCAGACTCCCAGCCCACGTGCTGTGACTCGTCTCTTGCACCTTACAAGCTGTCGCATGGAGAGATAGAGGGCGAGGCGTTGTCTTCATCTCGCGCTTGGCTCCAACTGTTGTGCTTCATTAACGCTTATCTTGGAAAACACTATGGCCATGTTTGCGACGACGGTGTACATCATCAATTGTCCTTATACTTCGCATCTGAGTCTAAATAATCTTCGACCTCAAGAAGACCCTGAACAAGTCGTTCAACTCAAGCTAATTTCTAGCAAGCTTTCGGGAACGTATGTATTGACTGCACATCCCACTAAGAACCACCTCTTCTTTTAACTGTTTATAGAAATACTTCTTCCAGACATCGCCTTTTCGCTTTGTAGATATCTTCCTACTCTCCTGTTAATGAAGCTGAGCTTTCTTTCTTACTTTTCGGATTTTCAGCAGTTTCTTAATATCTTGTCGTGTTAGTAAAATTCGGGGAAAAATCTCATCTCTTCAGCTGGGCTTTCATCAATCTTCTACATTTTAGATTTTCTTTAACTTGTGAAGATATTGTATAGTGTAACTCAAAATCGACAAAACATTGTTTTTTTGGACGAAAACATCCCATTACTTTCAACATGGTTTCTCTTAGGCTTGCACAACTTGTGGCAATCGTCGTCTGCATGTACGCCTGTACGGACACCCTGCAAGCTCAAGCTACCACTGGTGCTTTGAAACTCAACGAGTGAGTCTCTTTCGAGAAACTACAGCGCCGAAGGCCCAGAGATCTTCTCAAGCCAGAAAACAAAAGAGACTTATTGTTTGTTTAATCATCCTGCTTCTGTTTTCTCTTTGATTTGATCAGAGCATCTTCGAAGGCTCCTCCGCAGTTAGGAATAAACGGGGGCAACAGAACCACTGGGGTCAACAACACCGCTTCGAAAACCAATCAAGCTCCCGTGATGCCTGGTGCCAACCAACCCGGCCAAAACCCTTCAAAACCAACAAACCCTTCTCCAAATCAGAAAACACCACAGGCTACTCTGAAACCCAAGGCAGCCACCGGAGCTGTTAGGCCTGGCAAGAATGCAAGCCAGAGCGAAGAAGACAGAAAGCCAGCTGGAGCCGAAGGTCTCGTTAGACGAGAAGTGTATTCATCTCGAAAAATTCTCTGGAAGCGATCGGATTTGCCCAATACTACAGGGACAGGAAATAAACCAACTTCTCCCCAGGAAGACAACTCGGATCATATTAAATCGGGCGACAAGAACCATTCAAGCAAAGGGAATGTAGATAAGAAGCTGGATGGATTTAGCGGTGGCCTGAAGAAGCGCAAAATGATGTCTAAGATGGGAGGCGGCGGTGGAGGACTGAAATCCAAGATGGGTGGCGGAGGTTCATCTGGCGGTGGGGGAGGCCTGAAATCGATGATGGGTGGCCTCAAGTCGATGATGGGTGGTGAAGGTGGTGGGGGTGGCCTGAAATCAATGATGGAAGGAATCAGCGGTGCATTTGGTGGGCTAGGTGACATGGTATCGTTGATGGGTATGATGGGTGAGGAAGGTCTATAACTTATCTTTGTAAGATAGTTTTCTTGCCAATATTGCATTTGTTCAGAGTTCAACTATAATTGTATTAATTCAGAGTTCAACTATTGTATTTATTCAGAGTTCAACGATTGTATTTATTCAGAGTTCAACTATTGTATTTATTCAGAGTTCAAGTTGTTGTATTTATTCAGGGTTCAACTAGTAAATCAATCACCACCCCTAACTTAACCATGAAGTCCGTCTAATGGGAAGGGAGAAGGTCCCTCAATTCTTTGTTGTAGACTAGCAGCACCATTTTTTTGGCTGATCATTATGTTTTGGGGAAGCAAAAGATGCAAAAAATCATAGCAAATCATTACATTTTTTTTTCTTGAGGTTTCAGGCCCCTGGGTGGCACTCAACTTGCCTTTTTTTTGTGACTTCCATTCTCCTGCTTCATCTTGCATTTCGGGCCACTAGTACATGTTGGTAATTTTATTTGCCCCATTTTTTTTAACTGGGTGTTTACTTGATGAACTACGTATTGGGTCTTTCTTGAATTGCACACCTGTTGGTCTTGGTCTAACACCGGCGTCAACAAAAGCGACAAATGTGAATTGGTGGTTGACTCCAGCATTAGATTGCATGGCACTTTGGTATTATTTTAGTTATATGTAGATGTTGCACAGTACATTATCTGATATTGAAAATGTTATATAATCACCATTATAAATTAAGGAGATGTGTTTACAATGATCAAAATTACCACATAGATGGGGACAGCTTGAAAGATCCCAAAAGTAAGACTAGAGGAAATAATAATCTTCCAAATTTGAGTGAGATTGAGGAGTATGAGAAACTCTGATGAAAAAAATCCTAGTACTCTCAGACTGCAGGGTTGACTTTCGAGACATATTTGTCAGACACTGAGGCTGTAGCCCATGTGTCTACAACCTGTACTTAATCAACAAACACATGTACTGTAGTGTATTGGTTAAGGACTGTGTTATGACTTTGCCTCACCAACACACTTGGGTTCAAATCCCAATTATGTAATCTTATAATTTTATTATCTTATTTTTATACTTTTATGCTTTAAGTAATTCCACGGAATTACTTAAGTATTCACCTCTGTATTAATATTCATATTTTATATACATACAATTTGAAATCTTAATCATCTCTCTATACTCTGTAATTAGAGAGATGACATCATTCTTTCTCCTTTGAGCTTGAATGACATCATTTCCTCCACTTCTGGTTTAAAGCTTAATTTAAATACATACCAGCGGTGGGCCGCTACGCTACGCTACGCTTTTGGCCCAAAAAGCGTAGCGTAGCGGCGCTTTTTTTGCGCCAAATTTTTGTAGTGTTAGCGCTTTTGTAGCGCATTTTCGCTACGCTACGCTGCACTACAGCGCTTTTAGCGGAAAAAGCGGCTAAAAACCGCTAAAAACGGCTGTAGCGCAGCGTAGTGGGCCCTTTTTTGTGGCCCACACGCGTAGCGTTAGCGGTGTCGTGGCGGAATTCTGCTACGCTACGCTTAACGCTAACGGGAATTCCGCTGCGTTACGCTACACTAACCGCTATGGTTAGTGTAGCGGCCCACCTTTGTACATACTTTGATCATTTATGATTATATACATAAATGATCCTCTGCAGGCCTCACCGGTCTCACAGGCAGGTTGACCCCTGCCTTTGTAATACTTAAGGGGGAGGTCTTCTTCCCAAGAATCCTCCCCCCAGAGATTATTACCATACAACCCGTGCACCTTACATACAATTGTGAGTGGGGTTATCATTTAATCTATTACTATCCACCCCCCTTATCCTTATCCTTATCCTTTATCTCATCCCTAGGCTACAGTAAAGTCAATACTGTAGACTAGAAGAGAGTTGATCATTCCTCTAAGCCCGGCGCTGCGACGACTCTACCGCACGCGTCCCCTATAAACTTAGGGAGCTTAACCCCTCCGCTTCCTAGCGTCGAGGCGAGGTTTCTCATCCACTGGCTGCTAGTAAACCTAGCAGTTATAGTGAGACCCGTAAACCCCATCAACGCCAGGTCACACCAGAGACCGGCGCTGACAATATTTAAGTCCCTCCCTCTGGTTGGCACAATGCAAGAAGTGGTTTACCACTCCAAAAAAGGGTGCAGGGACTTGGTTAAGTTAGCCCCACCCCTAGCTTAACAAAGCCTCTTGAACAAAGGGTCAGGGGAACCCCCACGTGGAGCGCTCTCCATAGGAGAGGCTTATGAAGTAGGACAAAGAGCTGGCAGACACAGGTGGGATTTTCAAGCCAAAAATGCCTTTTTTATTTGGGCCTTAATAAAAAAACCCAGTTTTTCCACGTTTAGACACGGTTTTTCTGCGGCACAGCGGACGCGGTTTCCAAGTTTAGACTAAGGCATTGTCCCGAACCTTGTGAATCCCGAACTGCCCCGGTCCCGGACCCCAAAGTTTGGGACTTGGGATGGGGTCAGATGAGCCCCAAAACCCCGTGAATTTGTGGGGTGTCATATAGGCTTTGTTCAATGGAAAAAAACGGAAAAAACCAAGCAAAACAAGAAGAGAAAAATAGAAAAAATAAGAAAAAATAAGAAAAAAATAAGAAAAAATAGGAAAAAAATAAGAAAAAATAAGAAAAAAATAAGAAAAAAATAAGAAAAATCAAGAAAAAATAAGAAAAAAATAAGAAAAAATAGGAAAAAATAAGAAAAAATCAGAAGACAAGAAAAGAAACAAAATAAGGATTCAGAACGGAATTCATGGGGCTTTGGGGAAATCCCGGAATTCCCAGGGTCTGTGACTCAGGACAGCCTTCCATCCCCGTCCCGAACCCTGGGACAATGCCTTAGTTTAGACGCAGTTTTTTAATTAATTTTTTTCTACCATTAATTTTTTTTTTTTTAAGTTTTTAAAATTGTTTCCTAGGTAAAATAATGCGTAGAATTCAATGGTGAAGTCCATTTTCCATCAAAGTGACTTTTGTTTATTAATTTTTTTTTCCACTCATTTTTTCCATTAATTGTTTGCATGCATGTATGTAGCTTATTTTTTTATGTTTTTTTGAAATTCTAATTTTAATTCCTAGGCTTTAATGCGCTTAAAATTTAATGCCATGATCTGATTGCCAAAAACATGAATGGTTCATTTTTAATGATGCAATTACACTCATTTTTTCACTTAAATTTTTAGAGCTTAATTTTCATTCTTTTTTGACATGTTAAATTTTTTTTCCCACACTTCAAGACATGTATAAATTTATGGTAAAAATCATTTTGCACCAAAATGAGAACCACATCTTGTATACTGCATTTGACACGGGTTTTTTTATTTATTTAATTCTTCACTTTCTCACTCAATTGTTTGCATTAATTTTTTTACCTTATTTTTTATGTTTTTTTGAATTTTCAAAGTTTTTTCCTACATTTCAAAGTGTTTAGAATTCAATGGTAACATTCAATTTCCATCAAACTCAACGGTTCATTCTGAATACTGTAATTCGTCTTAAAATTCAATTAATTTTTAAGAGCTTAATTTTCATTATTTTTTGACATTTGAAATTCATTTCCCACACTTTGAGACATGTTAAAAATTATGGTCCCAATCATTCTTCATAAAAATAGAGACTATATCTTGAATACTGCATTGAACACTTGTCCTTAATTGATTTTTACACACTTAATTATCCTTATTTTATGGAATTTTAAGCTCATCTCCTACACTTTGAAAGGTATTCAAATTGTTGGCTGTATCCATCTTGCATTCAAATAAAATTTGTATACAGTACAAATTATGGAAGAAGCGGTGTACACTCTTATATTAAGATTGAAGCTTTTATTTTGAGGCAAAATGAACTCTACCATTAAATTCTAAACACTTTTAGATGTAGGAAATAGATTTAAAATTTCAAAAAATGATTAAAATTGAGCCCGTAAAAATTAATTAAAAAACATCAAAAAAAACCTGTCCCACGCAGTATTCATTACCAATCTTCGGTTTTTATGAAAAATGATTTTTACCATCATTTTAACCATGTCTTGAAGTGTGGGAAATAAATTTATAAAGTCAAAAATGAATGAAAATTAAGCTGTAAAAACTTAAGTGAAAAAAAAATGTCAAATTTCAGTATTAAAAATGAACCGTTGAGTTTTAAGAAATTTGGATGTTACCATTAGATTCTACACGCATTAAAGCCTATGAAATAAATTTAAAATTCCAAAAAAACATAAAAAATAAGGTACATACATGCATGCAAACAATTAATTGGAAAATGAGTGAGAAAAAAAAAATAAGAATTGAAAGTCATTTTTATGGGAAATAGTTTTTACCATTAAATTCTACACATTTTTTAACCTAGGCAACAACTTTAAAAACTTAAAAAATAAAATAAAATTAATGGCAGAAAAAAATTAATTAAAAAACCGTGTCTAAACGCGGAAACCGCGTGCGCTGTGCCGCAGCAGAACCGCGTCTAAACGCGGAAAACCCGGGTTTTTTTATTAAGGCCCATGTATTTTATTTTTTTTATTTTTTAAAAAAAACAACAACAACAACAACTGGTTTTCAGAAAAAAACCTGAATAGACAGTTTTCACGGGCATGTTAATGCACAACTTCCCTGGCCAGTTACTTGAAACCCAAACTCCAGAAATGGTTGAAGGAACCCATCTTGAAGGTCAATGAGCTTTCAGGAGGATATTTGATGGCTTTGAAGATCAATCCACAGATTTGTTTTAGGCAAAATTCCAAAGACTTGTGATTTTGCTCATTTTCAATCCCACATGGAGTGAGAATGCTCTCACCTGAGGAGATGAGACTGGTACCAAACAAAAAGGCCATATGCCAATGGGGCAGGTCTGGGGGGGGGGGATTCACTTTCACCCTAAGCCATTTGGGAATCCTGTGTCTGCCAGGGATGTTGAGTTCTTGCACACAAGTCCCTCCCTGTGACTCATGGGAGGGGTGCTTTGTGCCACCTGCTAATTATAGGGAGGAAAGAAATTTGTTAAGTTAGGCCCCACCCACTCCCCCTTTA